TAATAATTTTTTAAAATCATTTAAATAATAAAATTTTATTCATTTTATTAAATTTTTTATAGCCTCCGGAAAGGTGAAAAAGCCGCCGGAAATTCCACCGAAAAATTCCGTGGAGAAAAACTGTCGGAAATGCGCCGGAAAGCCGCCAGAAATGTGACCGCCGGAAAGCCGCCGGAAAATTCCACCCGAAATCAGTGATTTTCCTGTAGTGAATCAAGTGAGGGAATCACTGGGAAGAGGCAAATATATATAATAATTCATTGCTTAATGCCACAATGCTCACCAGATCAACTCCAAAACGCTCTACTTTTGAATTTTTATATATTTAAAATAAATTTATTTCACATATTTAAATAATTACAAAGGCTTTGTCGGATTTTTTTCCCTAGCAGTCCTTATTAGAGTCGTTGGCCGCCATGGCCTTCTTATATGCTTGTTACGCCTTAATGGAAGTGTTCTCTCTACTATTTCATTCTTTCTTTTTATTCATCTTTCTCAAAAATTTTTGAAGTTATTTTTTTGGTTTTTCCACCTCTAGCCCTTTACGGATGGAATGGTGAAAATTTTGTCGATCCTGACTTTTTAGATGGACCGAAGGGATCTTGCTCATTTCTTGAAGCTCTATCAAGGCTTCACCCATAGTGGCTTTTCCAGATCTTAAAACCACTACCCACCATGGCTTACCTTCACTGTGGATTTCAGAAAAGGAAATGCTTGTACTTGTGGCCCCATCCAAATTTGCATTGGTTGGTAAATATTCATGTCGTAAACTTGCTCTTGATTCTATCCACAAAATTTTCTTTTATCTCAAGCTAGCTCATTGGTAATTTTTCGGCTACACTATTAAATCCAACCCATGTATAATTAATTAAATTGGCCAAGGATTTGGATTGTATAAGTGTTTTCTCTCATTGATCCTACTTTGTGAACAACTGTTATATGGAACTGATCAAGTGGTCGCCATTTTTGACATTAAACTGGAATGCCCATAATCCCGATTTGGATTTCACTTCAGAACCTTCGGCCCCATCTCTTTTCGAACATATCTTGAACGGTTTGGGATCTTTATTTGGTTGCCCATTAAAAATTGATAATGCTACCTCAATAGGCTTAAGGCAATCTATTGACCGTGTTCTGATTGAACTAGACAATACCAAACGCTATCCCGATAGTGTACTTGGTTTTGAAAATTTTGATTATATACAACATACTAAAAAGGAGTTCCGTCGCATTTTAGGAGGCCTTCGGTCACCGCTCTGATACCATGAGAGACCTGCAAAATGGTTAGAAGAAAAGCAGTGGAAAGGATGGAGAAGACATTGAGAAAGATGAGGTGTATTTTCCTATATCGTGAAAGGAAGAACCTAAAGGCATATTACATTGCATGAGTATATATAGAAGAAGTACTTCAATGTGCACATGACGCTTTTTGTAATATGATGGCTTAGCCGTTATGTGCAGGTAGTGGCAGAGAAGTGGAGAGTAGTAATGATTTGCTATGGTATGTTGAACCGCGGCATGTATAAGTGCTAACATCCCCCCTCAAATTGAGCCTTCGAGGAGCGAAGGTTTAATTTGGCTCGAAGTTCTTGAAATCGATGAATGGGTAGCGGTTTGGTAAGAATATCAGCTGGTTGGTCGGTGGAGCTAATATGCTTGATTGAAATTGCCTTGTTGTTGATATGCTGCCGGATAAATTGATAATCAATTTCAATATGCTTGGTGCGAGCATGAAAAACCGGATTAAGAGCCAATGCCAGAGCGGAAGTGTTATCACAGTAAAGGGGTGTTGGCAATGGTTGTTGAATGTGAAAATCTGATAATAAGCGACGAAGCCATATAAGATCAGATGTAGCAGACGCTAAAGCCTGGTATTCCGCCTCTGTGGAGGACTTGGCTACCGTGATTTTCTTTTTAACGCACCAAGATATTAGGCTCTTGTCAAGGAAGATGCAGAATCCTGTTATGGATTTTCGGTCAAGGGAGTCACTTGCCCAATCAGCATCGGAATAGGCAGTCAGCTGAAGAGATCCGGCGGATAGAGGAAGTCCAAAGTGTAGTGTTCCTTGAATATATCGGAGTAAGCGTTTGAGAGATGTGTAATCCGCATTGGTTGGTTTGTGCATATGTTGACAGATGTTGTTGACGGCAAACGCTATGTCCGGTCGAGTGATAGTGAGGTAGTTTAAGGAGCCGGCCAGACGACGATACTGAGTGAGATCTGAGTAAGGCAGAGTAGCAGCCGAGTCGGTGGGAGGTTTGGGAGCCATTGGGGTGGCAACTGGCTTGCTGTATTGTAATCCTGCGGCAAGTATGATTTCAGCAGCATACTGGGACTGAGTGAGAAGTAGGCCGTATGATTGTTTTTGAACTATGATTCCCAGAAAGGTGTCAACTTCGCCCAGCTGTTTGAGGGAAAACTCATGACGGAGCGTGGTGATGAGCTGCTGAATCAGTTTTGGATTGTTACCAGTGATCAAGAGATCATCTACATAAATAAGTAGATAAAGCCGAGTGGTGTCCCGGGAGAAACAGAGCAGGGACGGGTCGGCTTTGCTGAAGGTGAAGCCGAAATTGAGAAGAGTGGAGGTGAATTTGTTGTACCATTCCCTTGGCGCTTGTTTAAGGCTGTATAAAGCTTTATGAAGTTTACAGACGAGATGAGGATGATCCCTGTCCAAAAATCCGGGAGGCTGAACCATGTAGACATCGTCATGTAAATCGCCGTGAAGGAAGGCGTTTGAGATGTCAAATTGTAGAACCGGCCACTTGCACTGCAGAGATAAAAGAAGTAGTACTCGTATCGTCGGCATTTTCGCCACGGGGCTAAAAGTCTCGCTGAAGTTGATGCCGAATTCTTGACCAAAACCCTGAGCCACAAGACGTGCTTTAAAACGATCCACCTCGCCATTGGGTTTGCGCTTTACACGGAAAGTCCACCTGCAGCCTAAAACTTTGGTGTGTTCGGGGGGAGAAACCAACGACCATGTACCTTGTTTTTGTAAGGCTTGAAATTCCTCAGACATAGCAGCCCTCCAGTGAGGTGATTTTAAGGCTTGAGTATAGGAAGAGGGAAGGTTATTTGTGGAGGTAACGGTGAGGAGATCAAAGATAGGTTTGGGACGGTGAATGCCAGCTTTGAGGCGGGTTTGCATAGGATGAGTGGAGGGTATGTTGGGTGGAGGTGAAGAGACAGTAGTAGTGGGTATGGAGGGGGCATTAGATATTGGTGAGAGTGGAGTTAGTGTCGAGTTGGACGGTAGAGTTGTGGTTTGAGGGGGTGAAGCGGTAGTTGTTGAAGAAGTCAGAGTGGTGGTAGGAAGTAGAAGGTATGGAGGGAATGAGGAGTAAGATGTTTTTGGTAGGGAGGGGGAGAAGGCTTGAGTAGATGGAGATGCATATGGTAATGAGGTTTCATGAAAAATGACGTGGCGAGAAATGTGGAGTTTCTTGGTTTGAAGATTAAGACAACGATAACCTTTGTGAGATGGGGAATAGCCTAGGAAGAGACAAGGTTGTGAGCGAGGGTGAAATTTTGTGGGAGTTGTGGGATGGAGCCAGGGAAAACAAAGGCAACCGAATGTGCGAAGATGTGAGTAGTTGGGCGGGCAATGGTAGAGAAGCTGGTATGGTATGTTGTTGTTACAGGCCTTGGTAGGTAGTCGGTTAATAAGATAGTTGGAAGTGAGAAGAGCTTCGGCCCAGTAGATGTGGGGAAGATGAGGTTGATGAAGGAGCGTTCGGGTTGTGTCCAGGAGGTGACGATGCTTTCGTTCAGCTGTTCCATTTTGTTCGGGGGTGTATGGGCAGCTGAATTGGTGATGAATGCTGTGTTCGGTTAAGTATTGTTTGAAGGTTTTACGTGAATTCACCGCCAGCATCCAAGCGGAGTTGTTTAATTTGTTTGTTGAATTGAGTGAGGATTAATTTATGAAATTGTTTGAATTTTAGGAAGGTTTCATCTTTAGTATGCATTAGATATAACCAAGTGAAGCGAGTATAATCGTCCACGAAAATAACATAAAATCGATGACCCTCTGTAGAAGAAAGGGGGGAAGGACCCTAGACATCTGAATGTATTAGATCAAAAGGTTCGGTTACACAAGAAGTAGTAAACTGAAAAGATAACTTGTGGCTTTTCGCCACATTACAAGACTCGCAGACAAATGTAGACGAAGGACTGCAGATGGATGTGAAGAGACGTGCAAGGTGCTGCTGGGTTCGGACGTTGGGATGGCCAAGCCGGGAGTGCCAGATTTTGATGTTGGATGCAGTGGTGTGAAGAGCGACTGGAGATTTGTGAGATGTGGAAGCGATAGAGTAGAGGCCGTTATGGTTGGGTCCACAGATGAGCGGTTGGTTGTCCGTAAGATCCTTAATAACAAAGCCATGTGAGTCAAAAGAAATGGAACAGTTGTTATCGGAGGCGAGTTTATGAATGGAAATTAGATTGTGAGATAGCAGAGGAACATGGAGTAAATTTCGTAGGAGAAGCTTACGGTTGGAATCGGGAAGAGGTAGAAGACCCTGACCAGTGTGATGAATGGGTAGAGAGCTGCCATTTGCTGTGGAGATTGTTTCAGAGCCGTTGTAGGTAGACGGATGTTGCAGGTTATTGAAATCTGGAGTGAGGTGTGTTGATGCACCTGAATCAGAACCCACTCATTGGACGAAGTGTGATGCGAGATTGTTAGAAGCGCTGTCTGAGGCGTATTTGAGGTTGTACCGTAATTTGCAGTGAAGCGATGCCAGCAAGAAGAGGCAATGTGGCCTGATTTGTTGCATATTTGACAAGTCGGTCTGGAGGAGTCATTGCGAGTGGAGGAGGAATTTGGCCTGAAGGGAGCTCCGCGACCGCGTGAGCCGCGGTAGGGGGAACGACCTCGAGAGGAGCCTCCGCGACTGGTGTACAAGGCAGTGGAATCAGCCAGAGAGCTTGAGTTGCGATGAATGTCTGTTTGCATATGTATCTCCTCGCTACATAGCAGGTTGTAGAGGACATCGAGGCTTAAGGGGAGTTGGCTTGTTCGAATGGAGGTTTTGAAAGAATTATAAGATGGGGGGAGGCCATTTAAAATGTGCAGGATAATTTCTTCCGGGTCCAGAATAGATCCGGCAGCGGCAATGTTGTCGACCAAGGACTTGATTTTGGCCAGATATTGCATCATGGTCAGATCTTTCATTTGTATGTGATAAAATTCGTTCTTGAGCTGAATCACTCGGGAACGATTGGTTGGTTGCAGTCGCAGCTCCAAGGTGATCCAAATGTCTCTTGCGGTGGAGAGATTGAGGATGTATGGTAAGACCGCCGGGGAGATTGTCGATAGCAGGGCTGATATTAGATTCTGATCTATCAAGTTCCACAGCCAAAGCTCATTGCTTGAGGCGGTGGGTTTGGCACTGTCGCCAGTGAGGTGACCTTCATAGCCATTGGCAGAGAATAATTGAAAAATTTGTAATCGCCAGATTGAGTAGTTTTCACTGGTAAGTTGGTTGGAGATGATCAGTTTGAGGTTGTTCATTAAGAACTTGAGAGAGGGAGGTATGACTATCTCAGACATCGTCGGAGGGATTGCGGGTGGCGATGCTTCCGTTGAAGATTGAGTTGGTGAAGAGTCAGCCATGCTTTTGCAGAGGAAGCGATTTTTAGGTCACCGCTCTGATACCATGAGAGACCTGCAAAATGGTTAGAAGAAAAGCAGTGGAAAGGATGGAGAAGACATTGAGGAATATGAGGTGTATTTTCCTATATCGTGAAAGGAAGAACCTAAAGGCATATTACATTGCATGAGTATATATAGAAGAAGTACTTCCATGTGCACATGACGCTTTTTGTAATATGATGGCTTAGCCGTTATGTGCAGGTAGTGGCAGAGAAGTGGAGAGTAGTAATGATTTGCTGTGGTATGTTGAACCGCGGCATGTATAAGTGCTAACAAGATCCACCTTCTTTTTTCAGGGTGGACAAAAAAAAAATTTATGGGGATAGACAAATACGGTTAGGATTGATAAAATTAAGGTAAATTTTTTTTTGAAAGGGCAAAATACCCAAAATATTTCAAAATATCTTCTCTAAAATTTTAATTTTTTTTTTAGGGTGGGCATTTGCCCCCCCTTAATACAATGGGGATCCGCCCATATTTGAGAGGTAGGGATTTGCATTATTTTGATCCAGTTGACCACACTGATTAGAGCTGTAGTTAGTCGGGTGATGATTGGGGTGATGAGGGGTTCATTATGATCAATCTAATTGTTTGACATATGATTGTGATTTAAAAATTTTTTGAGTTCAAAAATTTTTTGTACTAAAAAGTTATTTTTAAAAATAGAAAAAACTGTCCCAAGTAATGGAGAAATTATTTTGTGCGGAGAACAAATGCAGAACGCCTTCCATATACCAATCAGCATGCACCAAGTTAGTGATACCGAGCACAAGGGTTAGGGGTGTCAATATTTGACACGACACGAAAACTCGACTCAAACCCAACTTGGAAATTTCGGGTTTGATTCGACCCGATTTCAAAACGGGTCGGATTTCTTCCAGAAATCGACCCGTTTGAAAAACGGGTTGGTTCGGGTTGACCCGACGGTTGCCGGGTCAACCCGCGAACCCTTTTAAAATCAACTGCCAGCACTTCCCCGCCTACCCGCGACGCTGCCCCGCCTTCCCG